AATGGTGGTGGAATGAGTTTATGTGAATGGTTAGAGAATAATTTGGAAAACGACAGTGATAACGGTTGCACAATACGAGGAATGTAATCAGTATCACTGACTTACACATGTAGAAATTGTTGAACTGGCAAATGTTTTGCTGTGTATATTTTCATCATGATAAAAAAAAAAAAGCTTCTGCAGGACTTCTCAGTACCTGTGACTCTTGTGCTCTGTGAATCTCAAAGTGGGGGGATACAGTTCAGTTTAGTCTTCCAAACTCACATGGTCCACTTAGTATCTCTCCAAATACTTTCCACACTTAGAAACACTAAAGTTTTTGAGTAGATGAGCTCATATTTAAATGAATTACTATCTAAAGACAATGAAAATAAACATACCTTCTGGTCTCATTAGTAACATTCATAGTGTAAAAATTAAATAAACACTTCAGGTCTTGGACATTTATTTTTATAAAGTACTTGACTGAATAATGTAAACGCATACATATATTATCTAGACTCAAGAATTTTGAGCAGATAACCTAAAAAGTCTCTCTTTCTCATTGGCTAGTATCTAATTTAATGGTATGGATTCTGCAGATACTGAAAGGTAAGGGTAATTCAAAAGAAATACAACAAATTAGTTTGCCAATCAGTCATACGAATTTAACATACCAAAACACTGAGTTTGCTTTTCTGTAGTACCTACGTTCCACATCATCTTCCCCGAGGGAGTGGAAAAATCTGTGGTAAAATTTAATGGGATGATCAATGAAGTCATATTTGCCTGTACTTTAAAATTAGTACTTTAATTTCATTCATAAAGTAAAAATTATTTTATTTCCTCTTATTTATCTTCCATTTTTGTCAAATGAAAAAGTAACAGTCAAGGGGCAGATACTAAAAACAAGAATAAGTGGTTGACAATGTACTGGAAATAGTTACACGTAAGGTTCACCAACCTCCTGGCTTATTTTGCAGGAAACAATATCTGTGTATGTTTCATTCATTCAACAAGTATTTTACTGAGCACTCAAGATGTGCCAAGAACTGTACTCGGCACCTAGAGGCCTTTAAAAAAGTAGAACATAGCTCCTGCCCTCTAAGAGCTTACAATCTGTTATTTGGTGGGAAGACAAAGCAAATAAGAAACCATAAAACAAAAACAAGTCAATAAATAACTATGTGCCAAAATAAGCAAAACTATAAGAGTTATGGGTAGATAACATAAGATTTTATTTTAATGTGAAAGCAAGGTATATGCTGGGGAAGTTACTGTTGAGGACCACCTGGAGAAGGCAGGACTTGGAATGGTAGAAATTACATAAGCAAAAAAAGTTTACGGTGGTAGTGAGCTGGAGGCCAAAAGGGGAAGAAGAATAGCATGAGTCTGAAGTCATGAACTAGTACAATCACTCAAGATACCATGAAAGGAATAGCCTGAGTTCAAATTAGGGAGTGGGAAGAAATGCAGCTTTGAATTGTACTACAGAAATTTTTGAAAGTTCTGCTGTGGAATTTAGACACTATGTTAAAGGCACAAAAAACACTGGTGGTTCTAGGGCAAAGAGGTTACACAATAAAATCTAGGAAAAAATTTAGGGGATAGCCTTGAAGCCAGAAAACCAGATTAAAAGTTAAGAGTAGACCAGACCTGGGAATATAATGACTTGGGCTCAGATGGGAGCCTCCTTTATTCAATATGAAGTATAAGAACAAGAAAATCAAACTTGTAAAAAGCAATTACACATTTATAATTTTACTGACCAAAAGCAAAAAAAAAAAGTACTGAATAATTAGAACTAGAGAGGCATTACAAAAATAATTTTTCTATTCTTTTATTTTCATATCAACCCATCAAATCTCATATATATCATCTACTCTTACCAAATAATCTGAATTGAATCATAAACTGTTAAAAGTTGAAAGAAACCTTATTAGGTTTCTTACTCTAACTCTTCTCATTACAAGAAAAGAAAAATTAAGACTTGGGAGAGGGGGAAAAAAAAACTAGTCAGCTAGTAATATTCTTGGGCATGAGTGAATGTAAAATCATCTGTGTAGAAAGAACAACAAAAGAATAAGATGTGAAAACATTTTAAAGGTAAAACATTGTTTTCTCTAGAACTGGAGGAAAAAGACAGCCTCAACATTAACTATATCTGAAACAAAATATCAAAAATTTTTGGGTATTGGCACCAAAAAAAAAATTATCTTTATTAATACGGTCTGTAAACCAGTGATCCCTCCAAAAATTATACTTAGTTTACGTATTATTTAAGGTTTATACAACTTGTAAGATCCCTCCCAGATATAAAATCCTATAATTCTGTACAAGCAGAAGCACAACTTTCCAACATGAAATTTATGTACAGTAAGAGCCAAATTTAACCTACAGCTGAAAAAAATATTATCAGGCTCCACTTGATAATTTCCAAATATTTATTACTAGTAGGTTCCTCCTCAATTTTAAAAGGGTGTTGTAACTTAAAAAAAAAAAAAAAATATACCCTCTTTAAATAACTTGCTGCATTTGAAAATTTACAAACTCTGCTTCCCTAGAATTATTATGCTATCAAGTCTGTACATTATTTTACAAAAAAGTTTTAAAATTTCATTTCGCATGCACTAACACTCCAAAGACCACAAGCATTTAGCAAGTAAAACTGCCACCAATTTTAGTCTTTAGTATGAGATCCCAGCAAGAGATCATAATGCGATCTAGCCAACACATAAGGTTCTATAACCTTCATTCCCAAGTCTAAGGAATTTGTGAATTGAGTGTCTTTTTAAACTGGATGGCAGAACCCTACCCAACTTTATCGCTGCTGTGGACTACTCAGGCTCCCTGCTTGTTATTTTCCGACCACTTACTGCTCATTAATACTTCTGAGAGTGAGCTGACAGAAAAAAGTGATGCAGGAAAAAAAGAAATCAATTTTGCTATTTTTAGGTTCAACTTTTGTTTCTGAGGGAGTGTTTACATGGCTTTAAATAAAATTTTTCAATTATTTGAGAATTTAAATTATCCACGCTTTCCCAGTTTGTTATAAAAGCTAAAATAAGAATTAGCTTTACCAAGATTTGGGCCCCATATTTGCTAGTTATATATTAAGGGGAAAAAGCGATTAATCTAATTTTGAGAAAAAACAATGGATATTCTCTTGGGACCCTCAGAGCTGGACTCCTAAGACATTCATTCATTAAGCTAATAGGAGCCAATAGGAAGAGAGAGACTTCTAAATGTTTAAACAGGTAAATTTAAAGGCACATGATTTATACTGGCCCTAGGAAAAGAGTGGAAAACCACAAAAGAAAATTCACAGTATCTCAATAGATGTGCACCAAATAGCAAGTAAACTTACTAGGAAGATGGTCACTAATAAAGCTAAAGAGAAAGGGCCTTAATGCAAAGTGTGACCAGCTTATGTCAATGAAATACAGGAAAGTACTTTTAAAAAAAAGATTAGATCTGCAGTTTACTAGAAATAACTAGCTGATATCTTGGTTTTGGTAGTGCAATAGCACCATTACAGCAAGGGTAAGCAGGTCAATCCCTTGCCAAACTTACCTTGATTGGCCCAATGGAAACAGAAGGCCCCAGAAAAGAGAGAAGCATCTGGCAGTAGCAAATTGTTTTATTTTATCTTTCTGTGGAAAGAAACTAATTTTAAATAAGAACCAGAGCATTTAAAGAATAAATATTTTAAAGCTCATTATCTAGTTAGAGCAGCTCTACCAAGAAAACAAGAAGAGCTCCTTGCTGCTTAGAGATGAAGAGAAACAAAAGAGGAATCAGAGTTGTTTCTTCAACATCTAGGGAATTTTAAATTTTGTTATTCTACAGTCATAGAATAAACGGTTCTTTTATTTAAAGAACACCTGTAGACAGAATCTTTTGGGCCTGTGCCTTTGAATAAAGATTTTTATATAAAATTAAGGGCTACACTTCAAATAAAAAAGAAGAAAACCACTTGACATTAAGCCCTTCTATTCTTAATGTTAAGTAAAAAGAGAAAGACACACAGAGCAAGCTCCTTTCGTCCACTGCAATTGCACCATTAACTTTAATCCTCATGACTTAAATCATTATCAAAGAAAACAGTACTAATTAGCAAAAGATCAAATCTAATTGACTGGCTTTTCAAAATATTGTCTAAATTTCCGATGATTTACCAAGATACTCAAACGGAAATAACCCAGCCACCTAAAGGACCTGTGTGTTATAGGACTTAATACAGAACACCTGGAATTATTCATAGTAACTGAACCTGTTACCTTTCTTGAATGCTTCCCTAGGCACTCAGTTCTATCAAAATCACTGAGTCAGCATTAAAACCTTTTGATCCAAATCACTCCCACAAAATGTTTATCTAGAATTTATGCTAGAGATGGAAGGGACAGCTCAGAAGCAGGAGTGCAGAAGCAATACGCATTTTGTTTAAACAAAACAGTATAAATGGAAAATGAACTACCTATTTGACACTGTCCTATGAAGAATCAAATTATAAACTAGAAACCTCAACAGTCCCACCTCCAACATATACACAAATGAGGAAAGTATTTCAGGAATAAAATATAAGACTCATTCTCAGTCAATGGCTTAAACAACTCCTATTTTCAGATTCTATGTACTTATTTTCTGTGGCCCACCAACCTAAGTTATGTCGACATAGCAGATAATATTTACTCTTAAAACACTCACTTCAATTTACATGCTTAAAAAAAAAACCATTAAATTAGACAGCCTACATGTTACGTTTAAATTAAAAAACAAAGAAAAAAAGAAACTTAGTTTTCTTGAGCTAGAAAATAAGTTTCTCATACAGAAGATTTTTTTAATACATTCGAAATTTGGTTAGTCACGATTCAACATTTGCTATATTTGAAAACGTTACTTTGACATAAACTAATCCTTAAACAGCTACACATATTTACCCAGACTTCATCTTGACACAATACCAGGAGACAAAATTAAATTAAAAAAAAAAAAAATCAAAAATACAAAAACATTCTTACTTGTCCCATTGGTGGCCCTCCCATAGGGGGCATCATTTGCGGCATCATTCCATGAGGTACTGGTGGCATATTCGCTCTCTGACCCATAGGATGCATTCCCATGGGGGCATAGTGCATGCCAGGGTGTCCCATCTGAAAAATAATGAAAACTAAAAATTAGCAAGTAACAATAAGAGCTTCTCAAAAATTGCAACAAACAGGTTACCCGCAGTGGAATAATATTAGTGTGTGATTAAATTATGGAGCTGGTTCATACCCTCTTGTCCTAAATAAACAAAAAACGCACTAGAGTGTTATTAGCTTGCAACTCACCAAATTTCCGAATAAAATGGAAAACTTTAAAACCGTCACTGGACAGATCAATTTAAAAAGGAAAAAAATATGACTTGGTAAGTTATTAACTGGCTTGCTAAAGTTGCAGAAAATTTATGTAATAACTAGTTTAAAAACCCTTATGGTGTAAACTACAACTTTGCCTTACTTCGCAAATATAAAAGATAATGGTATTTTATAATACTTACTCTAGATGACCTTAACTTTAAAACGCTAAATTTACCAAATTAACTCAGATGAGGGCTGGTCTTAGAAAAACACATGAGTACCCAGGAACACTTCACTCCTAACATATTATTTCCTAACACAACCTTTAAGACAAGTAAAATTCCTCTGGAAAATTTTTTTTTTCCTAAGACTGAGATCGTGTCACTCAGACACCAAATGCAACCGACTAATTCATCCACTTTAATACTTTTTTTTAAAAAATAACATTTTCTTCACCTATCTGTCCATTGTTCCAGGTCTTAAAACCAGGTAATTATCCCCTGCCAATTCTCCCACTGCAGACAGTACCACTACTAGTTAAAACAAATTTTGGTAGCCTCTTTTAAAGTCTACAAAACCAAATTTCCGCCTCCGCCTTCTTGCTAAATCGGGCCTACCTCTCCAAAACTTACCCCGCCCAGGGCCCAGCATCTCCACCACGCCTCTGCCTAGGCCAAGCCCACCAGGAACTTCCAGGGTCCCACATCCTTCCCTTTGTGCGTCCCCGCCCTCCATTTCTCTCCATGGGAACATATCCCACCATCTCGAGCTCTTCCTTCGTCCACTCTGATCTTCTCCTCTTGGAGAAAGCTTCCTGTCTGACTCCGTTTTTCATTGTGCCACTTTCCCCCTGCCCCACCGATCCCTTACCGAGGGCCGGCTCCTCAGGAAGCCGTCAGCAGAGACCCAAGAGCTGGAGCAGAGGCTTGAGCCGGGCAATCTCCGCTCCCCGTTCCCGGGACCCCGCGACGGAGGACGGCTCTCCATTTCACTCACCATGAGGCCTCCACGCTCTGCTCCCGTCCCCGGCCTCATCGTCGGACTCAGACTGCTCCGCCGGCGGCCACTGCCGCTACACATGCCAACAAGAAGCGATCTGAGTGGCTGACGCCCGCCGGGGCCAAAGGTTAAAGGCTGCGCTGCGCTTCGGGGCGGGATCAGCGGGGCCAATAAGCTGACAGGCTTCCCCGAAGCCCAATCAGAATGCGCCCCAGGCACGCAGCTCTGCGGCGATTCGCCCCCAGCCTCACTCGGCGTCGCCTGCATGGAGGAGGGGAGGGGGACGGAGGAAGTTTCTGCGCCGAGTCCTCTGCTGGGAAAACTGCACCAACTTCCCCCGGGAAAGAGAAGATAACAGTGTCCCAGCTTCCCGAGTTTAGACTGCCTCACTCCATAGGGGGTGGGTCAGCGGGGGCCTGCCGCCTTCACCGCCCCCACCCATGTTACGTACGCCCCACAAACCTGAGGCCGCCAGGGGTACGGTGGGGTGGGGGTGGGGTAGGCAGCTTCTAGCGTTAGCGGTGGCTGGGGCCAGATGGCGCGCGCGCAGTGCTCGAGACAGAGGGAGGGGCGAGGAGGGGAGGGGGCGGGGAAGGCGGGAGGAGGGGTCTAGAAGAAGAGGGTTCGAGGTCAGTAGTGAGTGGAGAGCCCGCGCCGAGGCGGAGGAGAGGTAGAGAGAGGCGTGTCGAGCAGCGTGAAGGGGAATAGTGGTAGGGGCGGGGAGGAAAAGATGAGAAAGAGAGCTAGGAATGGGCAGTTAAGGCAAGACTCGAACGTCTGGCGGTGAGCTGCTGTTAAGGGGGAAAGCAAGGAAGAATGCAAGCAAAGAGAAAAAGGGAGAAGACAAATAGATTCGGGAATGTGTATCGGAGCGGCATGGGCGGGCGCTAGGACCGGGTGTCGAGAAGATGCGGCATTGGGGCTACCAGGGCCCTTGTCTGCCTGGAGGTGACGCGGCGGTGGCGGAGGTCTCTGGCCGGAGCGAAGCGCTGCGGGGGACAGGCACTCGGTTACTTCGGTCTGGGCTCGCCTCGCCCTCCGCGTTTCGCTTCTCTCCCTTCCAATTGCCAGAGCCGGGGTCGGGATCTGGTCCAGGGGCGTTCCGGCCCTTTGGGATCCCCGCCGCTCGCTTACCCGTCCGCTACGCCCTTCTCCGCACCCCTGCGCTCCGACGCCGGGTGGTGGAGGCCGCGATAGGACCCGGACGCTGATTGGCTGCTGAGGGTCCGGAGGGTGGGAGCCGCTCCGTCTTCGCGGGCCTAATCGTCTTTCCCGCCATGTCGTTTGTGGAGAGCGGGAGCGTTTTGGCTTTGCGGCGCCACCGCCTTGGCACTCCGGCCCCACTCTCTCGGCCAGTGTATTCCGCCTTTTCTCAGGGGGACAGTTGGGGTGAGGGCGAGGTCGACGAAGAGGAGAGATGCGACCAAGTGGCCCGCGATCTGCGGGCAGAGTTCTCGGTCAGGGGATCGTCGGAACCCAGGAAGGACTCGCTGCTACCGTTGGACCGGGACGGGTCTCCGGTTCTGCCCAATAAGCGCAATGGCATCTTCCTGGCGACTGCGGCCAGCCGAGCCCCGGCTCGGCGGTGGCCGGTGCAGGTCCTCTCTGTGCTCTGTTCGCTTATATTCGCCGCTCTCCTCGCCTTCCTCCTTGCCATCGTCTACCTGATCGTAAAAGGTACTGAAGCCGGGCTTTAAAGTCTGTCCAGAGCAGAAGTTGGGCCTGGACGCGTCTCGCCTCCATCCGTCCCTCTTTTCACCGGCGAGCTGGCAGCCCCTTTCACTCAGAGTCCTCGTCGGTACCTTTCTTTGCTCTTCACCCTTTGTCTTTTTCCTAAGGTGGAAGTTCCTGCTCCGTAATCAGGAGACCCTTTTAAAAAAATAATTCATTCGGTAAATGAGTATCTTCGAAGATTTAATATCTTAAAGTCAATGACTACTTGGGTGAAATATTGACAAAACTAAGCAAATTGTAGAACAACCATCGTTAAATGGAGACAGTGAAAAGTGGGTGTAATTAAAAAGGCTATACATATTCAAAGGCTTTGATCCACCGATCTCTCTGTACACTCACAGAATTCCTGGAGGAGAGAGAGCTCTAGCCCACAACCCAAATTTGTACTTGGATAGGTAAAATAATTAGTCTGTCAGTTCTGTGTTAGGTTTGTAGTTGGGTATAGTAAAGTTTTACTGCAGCGGCGATAGGGTGGTTTTTTCTTTTACTAATACCTGAAGTTGAAGTATTGGCCAGATCGGAATAAGAATAGATGCGCCTTCAAAGGTTTTCCAGAGGCTTGCATAGATGTATTATATGGTTGGGTACCGCATATTAAAGTGCAAAGAGCCCTACCTGTGTTTAAATATTAATTTTGGCTGGTGTGACCTTGGCGAAATTATTGGAAAAAAAACAAAACAAAACTACCTTAGTTTGTGTATAAAACACACGCAACACATCATAAAAGTATCAGTTTCATTTCACTAAATAGTGTTAAATCTGTTTAACTACAGTGATTTTTCTTCATTGCTTCCCAGCCCCTAATGGGCAGCAGATGGCATCTAACGGCTTACAATCCTTGATTGTAAGAAGATAGACTGACTAGTTAATGTGTGAATTTTACCTCTCTGTGAAATGGTTTTGGCTGTATAGTGTCAGTGTTTACTATTTGGCTGCCACTGTTTCAATATTTTATCACTCTTTCCCTCTCCATGTTTTTTCACAGCACAACTCTGAGAGACTGTTTAGTTTCACAGATACAGGTTTCCCCTGATATCTGAAAACAGAGTATTCCTATGAAACCTTTCCTAAGCCTAAATGGCATAAAGCAAAGAAGCAGTTACCATTAATTTACATGGCAAAATTTTTTGAGTGTTTCCCAGACCAAAAAATAACCTACCAAATCATATCAAATAACACATAAAACCTAAAATAACACTAACAGATAGTAAAAGCAGGAATGATATGTGATGCTGAGATGCTGAGTATAGTTCCCGGGGAAGGAGCTTGCGATGCCACTCACTGCTCAGGGTGTGCACTGCCTCTGTTAAGGCTCACTGTAAAAGAAACGCTGAACGCTATTTCCAGTATTCGCCTTTTTTTGTAAAAGCAAAAATCCTGTTTGGATTTCTTTTGGTTCGTGAAAACAGGTAGTGAAAATGTAGGTCTTTCATAAAAGTGAGGTGGCATAAAGTGAACTTTGGAGATTGCCTGTGCATGATAAAGTCATAAAATTGTTGTAAATGGAAGTCCATTGTAGAAGACATTGAGCTGTGATTGTTCTAAAGAATGGGGAAAGGAATTCAAGTAAGACCTAGTATGCTATGCAGTTCGTATTACATAAAATGTTTTCACAACAACCTTATGGAGTAAATATTAGTTTTCCCATTTATAAGGCAGTTGATTCCCACAGAGGTCTTACTTGCTTGCTGAAGGTCACATAGCTAGTAAGTGGAATCAGAATTTGAACCCGGTTCTTTGATTCTGGAGTACTTTGCACAGCTCCACAATGTCTCCCTATCCTTTGATTACTCTTCAGATTATAAAATAATTTTACTTTCTACCTAAGCCCCTCCTTGTATTTACAGAGTTACATGCTGAGAATCTGAAGAATGAAGATGGTGTAGACACTGGGCTATTAGGTATGGACTTAATTGGCACTTAATTTGATTTTACGTCTACTTTTGCTTTTCAGAACAGATTTAAATTGTACAGAATTTTAGATAAGATGCTTAGTATATTCCTCTGTGCAGTTGATTTGGTCTTATGTTTTTCATTTGCATATATGTATGGTGAGTTTTTATTGTATTTATGTGCATGCGTTTGTATACACAGACACACTAATACCCATCATAAAATTATGGAAGTAGATTTGAGTACAACCATATGTGACTCGAGTCCCTGGGTGGCACAAACGGTCAAGTGCTCTACTACTAGCTGAAAGGTTGGTGGTTCGAGCCCACCCAGAGATGCCTTGGAAGATAAGCCTGGTGACCTGCTTCTGAAAGGTCACAGCCTTGAAAACTCTATGGAACAGTTCTACTTTGCACACATGGGGCCGCCATGAGTTGGAATCAACTCAACAGCCACTAATAACAATATGTGACTGAGGTCCAGAGAATACTTAAAATTTTCTAGTTGCTTTTGGAGGAGGCATCCCGGGAATTTAAAAAAAAAAATCTCCTGATAAACTTAGCAAAGATAAAATTTTAAGCAGAACTTGCCAGGTATTTAAGTTCAGATCTCTTTATAAGCAACTTCTTTAAAAAAAAAAAAAAAGTTAGACACATTGGGCCTTATTTGCATGAGTTAATGACTAGGAAACAGTCAGACTTGAGTGTGGGTGGAGTGCTTTAGTTCACAGAAGGAGTCCAATGGTTAAGCACTTGGCTGTTTACCAGAAGGTCAGAAGTTCAAACGCCGGAGCCGCTCTGCAGGAGAAAATAATGCCAGTCTCCTTCCAGAAAGATTTACATATAGCCTTGGAAACTCTGTCCTATAGGATCACTATGAGTTGGAATTGACTCGATGACAACAGGTTTGGTTAGTTTACAGATTTCCAATGAAAAACTCTCGAAAGTTATTTATCCTGTATTTATTTCCTTCCACCAAGAGCTCAGAGTCCTGGTAGCGCAGTGGTTAGGAGCTTGGCTGCTAAACAAAAGGTTGGCAGTTTGAATCCAGCAGCCGCTCCTTGGAAACCCTATGGGGCAGTTCTACTCTCTCCTGTAGGGTTGCTATGAGTCGGAATCAACTTGCTGGCAATGGGTTTGGGTTTTTGGGTTTACCAAGGGCTGAGAACTTTACCTATCTGGCATGTTTGGCATATTTTTATACTATTTGCTAGATCGTTCTAAATTGAAAAAAACAAAAGTATACATCCTATCCTGCATATTCCCTGGCTCTACCCTATTTTAGCTAAACTGATTTATCTGTGGAGTCCTGGTGGTGTAGTGGTTAAGAGCTCGGCTGCTAACCAAAAGGTTGCAGTTCAAATCCACCAGCCACTTCTTGGAAACCCTAGGGGCCAGATCTACTTTGTCCTGTAGGGTCACTATGAGTTGGAATAGACTCGACAGCAACAGATTTGGTTTTTTTCTTTTCTTTGAGGCTAATGTCTTCACAGCAATACAAAGTACAGTCTACCAAGTTTTGCAGAAGGGTAAACCTCTTCAAATTGTAAACAAACTAGTTTGCTAGATATCCCGTGGAAACTTTTGTATATGCTCTTCTCAACTTCTTGCATGAGAAAATAATGTACTTTATAGTTACTCATTTTATGAGTGTTCATTGTTACACTGTTCCATCTCTAGAAAACTGTCAAGAATATGAGGCTTTTCATATCTGTCGCCTTTTGATGTAGTAGATACAGCTTCACCAGGGGGGAGGGGTGGTGTTCAAACCCATCAGTGACTCCGCGGGAGAGACTGCCTGGTGATGTGTTCCCATAAAGATTTCAGCCTAGGAAACCCTATGGGGCAGTTCTACTCTGTCATATAGGGTTGGTATGAGTGGAAATCGACTCGACGGCACAAGACGACAACACTGCTTTTTAAAAGGTAGCATGATTTCACATTTATGAAAAGAATGGGTAATAACAATCATCTGAAGACGTGGCTTGCTTAGTGTCAAAAGGAGTATTACAGGGTTGTGTTATTGTCTTTCCTCCTTTTCTACTTCTAGGTAAATAATTTGGCATTCCTTTTAAGTATGCCTATTATATATGTAATACTATGATAGGAAATAGGAAGATCATACATAAGCCTTTGCTAATGACATGAATTTACTATCAAGATTCAGGAAAAACTCAGGAATGAGCAGAAACTGCTGTATCTTCATGGGCAAAAAATTAAATGGTTATGCCAAAACAAAGATCTTTGTTTTGAGTCAGTGCTTCAGTGATCAAATGGAGAGTATATTGAACATCACCTGATGGGCTAATTCAGTTTCTTGGGTATTAATTTTAGAGTAAGCATAGTTATGTTTATAGTAAATACATCTACCATGTAACATATGTCATAGAGAATACTCTTATCAGGAAAAGTTTCCTGAAAATCAATGTTGCAGAGAAGCAGTACCAAAATTATAAAGTTCGTATTATCAGGTTGAAGTGACTGAGATAACACTTGCCCTTACATGTTCCTAAACTGGAATTCTCTTGTGTTCAGGAGAAAAATACAAGTAGCATCTTCACAGAATAATGTTTTGAATTTACTATCAGCCTCCACTTCAAAGTCCACGTGTGACAGCTGATAGTTGAGAAAGATAGGCCAGTATTTCTCTCAAACTTTGACTTGCATTCAACTCCAAATCAACCCTGAGTTGATTAAATTAGGTATCGAGAAAGATTGATTCATTTCTTTACGTCTGAGAGAACACCAGTGAAATTATATTCTTAAAATTGGCATAAAAATGTTCATATGATGAAACAACCCTGAATCTTTAAGAAAGCATCCATTATGTTCAGAAAAAGTGGCATGCAGCCTTTTATTAGTTGGGAGTGATTTCATTGTATTTATTGTTTTGGTTCAGTTACTGGGAACTTCATAGCTAAATGTAATGTTTGATTGTTTTATGTAGTACTCTTTTTTGACACAATTATTATTCCCCTTACATGCTATTGTCATCTTTATATTTCAGTGATTCATGTTTAAATTGTTTTGCATACTGTCTCAGCGCTTTGTTTGAAAGTAGGTTGGTTATTAGAAACAAATAGTGTGAACACAGTAGCTATTCTACCATGAAAGAGTTCTCTTTCCAGACAAACTGAAAAAATTTTGCACACTGCAGATTTTTTTGTTGCAGTTTAATCCTAGTCCAAGGTTGGTGCAGCTCAGTAAGCAAATTATAGCCGTGTTTCTTGTTCTGGTATATGTGAGAATCACCTAGGGTCCTTGTTAAGAAAGCACCTTTGGAAGCTATGTATTTTGGCTCAGCCCAGAGTGGGGCCCAAAAGTTTTTAGTTTTTACAGGTGATTCTGATGCAGGTAGTCCAAGGACCATGGTTCAGAAATAAATTTTGCAGACCCATAACACTTTTTATAATGTATCCAAAGGTAGTTAATGTCCTTGAGAGCCTACTAATGCCAAACAGACTAACAAGAAACCATGTAAGCCCAAATGTCTGTTAAGAAACATAACTTCCAAGGAACTGAGACATTGTAATCCTCTTGTCATATTTGTTTTCCTGAAAGAAATCTTTAGGGGAAGCCATGTTTATAGTTAAAAATAAATAAAGGTACACAGTGAGCATAATATCAGAGCATTTGGGGAGTTAATTGTTCCTAATATGGCTAGACTATAACACCATTCAAACTAACTGGCATGATAATCACCTAGAAGACTTGTTAAAATTCATTTTGCAGGGCTTCACCTCCAGAGTTTTTGATTCAGTAGGTTTCGGATTGAACCCAAAAATCTGCATTTCTAATGAGTTCTCAGGTAATACTGATACTGCTAGTTCAGGAGCCATACTTTGAGAACTATTGTTCTAGTGGTTCCCAAACCTGACACGTCAAAAAAAAAAAAATCCTGGAGATTTTCTTTTTGAATACGCAGAATCTCAGGCTCTATCCTTGTCTACTGAATCAAAGTCACTTAAGTATTTTAGCATATTTAATCTTAAATATACTTAAAGTATGCTTAATTCTCAGTATACCACCAGAGTCCATTGCACCCGCTTTTCATATTTTAATTTTCTTGAGCAGTTCTATTTGTTAGCATTGATATTTCATGATTTTTATTCTTTAATAGGGGTCTTCCAAAGAATAAAGAGAAAGTTGGGTTAAATTTTCAATAGACTAAAACTTATTTGATCTTGAAATTGCCCTATTGGTCCATTGGCTCCTTTTATAAATGTAGTATACATTATGGGATCTTAAAAAAACAAAACCTGTTGCTGACAAGTTGATTGCGACTCAGTAACGACCCTATAGGACAGAGTGGAACTGCCCACCAGGGTTTCCAAGTCTGTAATCTTTACAGAAACAGACTGCCACATCTTTCCCCTACAGGGTTGCTGGTGGGTTTGAACTGCTGACCTTTTGGTTAGCAGCAGAGCGCTTTAACCACTGCACCACCAGGGCTCCTTTATGGGATCTTAGTGATCGTATTTTTCCTAAATCTTGAAACATTTTGCTATTTCATTATTATTCATCAATTATTCTCAACTATGCAAATAGAATAAAATAATATGACAACAGACGAATGGAATCCTTCAGAGCACAGACTTGCACACTACTGCCCACAGGCCAAATCTGACCTGTTTTTGTAAATAAAGTTTTATTGGAGCACAGCTTCATCAATTTCTTTATGTATTATCTATGGCTGCTTTCATGCTACAACAGCAGAAATGAGTAGTTGTGACAGAGACCTTGTGGCTGCAAAGTGGAAAATATTTAGTATCTGGCCCTTTACAGAAAACATTTGCTGACACATAGCATAGAGGATGATTCAGTAGTGGAAAAATGCCACTACTGCATTATCTTTAAGTTTTCATAGCTCATTGCCCAAAGTTCATCCTTTTTCAAGAAGATAATACCAGAATACTGAAGATCCCACCTTATATATGCTTTTAACTTTCGTTAGACACAGTTCAGAAATCAGAGTTCTTCATTTCCTACTCAAAATGGCAAAGAGGAAC